AAAAGATAGTATAGCCGCTCGGCTGTTCGCATTTTGACACGTTGGTGTGCTCCTTTTTTAATATATAATATAGCCGGCCGGCTATACTCTTCTAATTTTTTGGATAAATTGTATAGCCGCCCGGCTATACGCTGTTTTTCTTTTTCTTTTTTTTTTTATAACAAAAATTAGCATAATTGATCCGCTATACTCTTTATATATATATATTGGGATCCTTTTTTAAAAAAAATTATTGTCCCCGCTTTTCGTTTACCAATAAGAGTAGTTTAGAGCATTATCCATTAATATTAGGCCATTACCCGAGTTTCTATTTTCTACTTTTCATTTTTAATTTTTTAAAGTTATTACTCGTATAAGAATTTACTACTTTCATGTATAATCCTTGTATTTTTTTACAAAATTTTCAATAACACATACAAAATTCACTTATTTTACACATAATTTTGACATATTATTGAATAAAATTAATATATATTTAAATTTAAATATATTATAGTAAAATATTAGTTAATTTCATTTTTCAATGTGCTAGACCTCGTTAACAATATTTATTATTAATTTAGTATTACTTTTCTTTCCAGCATGAAAATGATATTAGAAATTCGAATTATCTTGTTTTTCTTTTTCTTTCTTCATACAAAGCAATCACTATAAAAATTGAAGAGGATACACCATGGGCAGTGGGCGCCTAATAATTTTTGTCTCCAACTGCACCCAACTGATGACAATAGACATAAACGAAACGCCAATTTAAATAAACAACACTGACTTCGTCAAAAAAAAGAACGATCAAATGAATAATTCAATTTGCCACCTCCGCAATCGGTTTTAAGTTTTAACCACACGTGGCTTGCGGAGAATGCAAGAACCTTTTCATGAAATCATAACTGACGGAAATGGGAGACCAGCTGACCAACATGGGGACCTTTCGCCACACGAATTGCTTGTCTATTTGTTCGGTTAAACCGTGGCCCACCGGTCCGTGGTGCAATTCCGCCGACTCTGCCTACATAATGCAATGATATGAAGCCACCTGCCCTTTCCGACCTAATCTCTAATCTCTTTGGCTTGGCCTCAGAACAGAAGCCCCAGTATAAATAATTTGGATTATCCATTTTCAACCCGAATCAATAACATATTGAACTGAAATTGAGTTTACTTCAACTATTTTTTTATATTATAAATCAAAAATAAACTTCATTAAATCGAATTAAAATCATACAGGACAAAACCGAATTGAATGTATTGAATTGGGACAACTAAATCAATACGTTTCTTTCAACGACAAATAGTTTCTCCCTCAATTGAAGGTCAGCTCAGCCATCCCAACAATACAATTATTCAATTTATTGGAGTCTTACATCATCATTGTCATGCACTTTCTTATTTTATTTTAATTTTTCCTTTATTGTTGGGATTAACGTCGATGTCAAAGTCAAGATAACATACTTATTTATAAAAAGGCAGGGTGATGCCGGAAGCAATATTAGAATATGCTCAATAGACCAAAGTTGTTTAATTTCTCGAGCTTAAATAAGTTAGGTATTGAAAAGTTCAAATATAAACACTCCTACCGATGACTAAACAAACATGGAAAGTAAAAGTCTCAATCGAAAAACATCTTACGCTTAATCGACAAACTACAGTGTTCAAAATATATAACGAGTTCATTTTACAAATATGTCAAATTGTGATTGACATATTTAAAGTGAAATGGGTCATTATCCATTAGTGTCCAAGCAATCCTAGTGACATATGAATTGCAAAAGTTAAGTGCATGAACCACTAAGGTTGCGTTTTTAACATTGGAATGGAAGAGTGGATTAGATTGGGAAATTGGCATGACCAAACAAAAGGGAGAAAATGGGCGGCACGCGGTGGGTTGATGATGAGGGTGAGGGAGGGAGCAGCAGTTCCATGAGTCCATTATATGCTTGAGTGAGTCAGCACCACGAAGCCTGTTTCGGGTTTACCTCCTCTGCACTTGTATCATCACTACACATGGCTTCACACTATTGGATATTTATCCCTGACTATCTACTTTATTTCAACTCACAAACTTTTGCATAATTCAATCACAAACATGTTCATTGAAAACGACGACCTTGATCAGACAAACTATTATTAGCATTAAGAGTAGCATACTATGTACGTAACTTTCAACGCTTTAAACTCAATCAAACTTTCAACATGTACAGTTCTGTTTATAGTTTTTCTCTATGTTTGAAACTTTCAACATGTGGATGCATTTCAAATTAAAAACGTTGTGAGGTATTCCTACTTCCCACCCCCTCTCATACTAGGTCAACTGCTAAGCATGATTCATGTGTAAAATTTATATGTGATAACGTTTGTGAAAGTTATACCATTGGACGCCAATGGGTTCCCACCAAAGTGGTGGCGGCTTTATCCTTCCCCACATGGTACCCAAGTTTGAACCCCGAGTCGAACTCTAATGTTAACAAAAATAGAAAGTTATACCATTGGACCATGGATGTGATAATTTATGGTTTTAAATCATGTTGCTGATTATGTAGTTGATATGAGGCACAAATTGTCTTCAGGTTTGCATAGTTTTGACGCATTCACTATTTCTTTGGTTTCTATCTTGTATGACAATAGATTAAGCCGGATTTTTCTCTGGAATGTTCTTTGTTAGTTTTTCTTGTTTTTATCGGTTACTCCCGTCTTGTAACCCAAAAAAAAAAAAAAAAAAGAAGAAAAAAGTATTGTACTGTGACAAAAAGTTGCTCACACTTCATGGTATACGTGGGACGGAATACAAATTCCCCCGTACATAAAAATACATATATACATACCCTTCTTCTTCATTGCAATGCAAAACACTCAGGCAGCCCAGCTGCCTAAAACCCTAGCACAGCATTTTGGTTCAGTTTAGTTTCTCACTTGCTCTGTTTTCCACCATGTAAAAACAAAAATGATCACAAAACCGTTTAATTTATCTCTATCACTTTTCTACACTGAAATTTCTGATACAAAGGGGAAGTGGAAACTGAGGTTCCATCAACTACTTAATCTAAGTTACGATCCCTTGTACGCTTTGATTCTCCTTCCGATCTCCTTTTCCAACTCTTCGAGGCCTCCCACTTCTTCAAGTTCCTGCACCAGATCAAACACAAAATATAATACCAATTTAGCTCCTGATTAACAATACTATTTTGACGACCGAGACAAACTTTGTTTGAGTAAACACTAAAGAATTGCAGACCAACCTTGGGACCCAGAAACAGCCCATATGGCACACCCTCGAATTTCTCTGAGTGGTGGAGCTGAAGCCAAAACATCCAAATCAAACAAAATCTTGACAGTTAGATTCGGTTTAAGAGAAAATCATAATTAAATGGCTCGACCACAATATAGAAATAGAACCCATGTTCTTACCTAAACTTGCTTTATGCAAGAATTATGGAAGTAAATTAATGTAAAGAACTATTAATGTATAGACTTATGGTTTGTATGTGTTTGTTGTGTATGAGCGCTGTGATATTTTACCTGATGAGCAGCAGCAACCTTTCTCAAATAGGGCACGTTGGCTATGGGACCCACTGGGAATCTTTTATGAACTAAACCATCGTGGACAAACATATACGCCATGCCGAACACTGTAATTCCAAGACCCTGTTCAAAGTCAATTTGTCAATAACAGAAAATTCTAAGGCCCTTTTGTTAAAGAGGATTAATTTATAATCCCCATCAATTAATTATGATTAAAGTCGTTAATAAATCAATAAACACGGTTTCGTAGTAGAGAGAGTGAGAGAGAGAGACTTACAGCACCAAAACATAGGCCAGGAACAAGGCCTTTGTGGAAGAAACCATAATTGAGGAGGGCTATAGCTGGAACAGCGTTAATTACAGCAA